GTGTCGCGCTGGCCCCGGGATCTGAAACGAGACGTAGGCCTTAAACCGGGCTTATGGGTATGACGGGAAGGGAGTTTCAGTGTGTGTGTGTGTTTTAGTCTTGCACTGCTACCACGTGTGACACTCGGGACATCTCTTCCGGATCGCTCCTATGGGAGAGGGACAGGAACAGAACGGCTGCATTCACTCGTGGGATATGACATATATTACATACAGTGTGACTCAGCAATGTGTCCTTAACCCCCAAGCACCCGCAGACTTTGCAACTCCTGCCCTGCGCCACGTCCGTCTCGCTGCCTTCCCGTGTGTCCAGCTGCACAGATGCCCACCCAGCCCCTTCTCCCTCCGAGGTTTATGGGGTACCTTCCTCCCGAGAAGTCGGCCCCAACAGGTTCGGCCCCAAACTCCAGGCCTGTTCCTGGGCTGGGGAGTCTTTCCACAGCTTAGATAGTATCTTTCTGCCCCTCTTGGTTCCTGGGTGCTGTGGGGTCTGTTTCATGGCTTCTTACGGCCCCCTGCCTGGGCTGGGGGCACTTACACTTCGTGGGACCACCGGCACTGAGCTGCCCCCAGGAGGAAGCGAGTTGGGAAGAACGGGGCGTATCTCCTGAAGGCGTGGAGTGGCCTGGGCGGACAGAGGGTCCCCCGAGGATCAGCTCACCCTCAGACCCACGTGGGGTACGTGTGTGTGTGTGTGTAAGTGTGCATGGTGTGTGTATATGTGCGTATGTGTACAGCCTGTGTGTGTGTCTGTGTGCAGCTGTGGTGTGTGTATGTCTGTGTATGTATGTAGCCTGTGGGTCGTATGTGTGTATGTGTGCAGGCGTGGTATGTGTTTGTGTGCGTATATGTGTACAGCCTTGGGGTGTGTGTGTGTGTGTGTGCAGCCTTTGGTGTGTGTATGTGTGTATGTATGTGTACAGCCTGTGGGGTGTGTGTGTGTATGTGTGTGCACGCACGCAGCCATGATGTGTGTATGTGTGTATGTGTGAAGCCTTTGGGGTGTGTGTGTGTGCGCGCAGCCATGATGTGTGTATGTGTGAAGCCTGTGGGGTGTGTGTGTGTGTGCGTGTGTGTGTGCCTGCGAGATGTGCATATGGTGCCGTGTCATTGGATGGGTCTGGGACCTTAGGTCACGCAGGGTCAGACCTGCCGTTCACTGAGGTCCTGGCAGGTGGCCGGCCCAGTATGTCCTGCGCACGTCTGTTGCTCCGGAGGGGGCAGGAAGCTAGGGCGGGACAGAGGGTTGGCGCGGGGGGTGCGGTGTCCCGGGAGGCGTCCAGGTGAGCACCCTTGGGAGTGGGTCCCCGGAGGCCCTGGGGGTAGGGCTGGGCCCTTGTACCCTATCCCTACACCTGCAGTGACATTTTCATTTGGGGGGGCTGGAGGGCACAGCTATGGAACTCAAGGCTTTTGTCCCTTTGGGGTGTTTGTGTTTCTTTCGGTTCTGAAAACAGCCTGGAGCCACAGTTACAAACCCGGAAACTACCCCAGACCTCAGCTCAGAAACAAACCCAGTCCCCTCTGACCAGCTGGGGCCCCATAAACACTCCGGTATCTTCTCCCTCCTACGTCCAGGAGGGATATGGGAGTCACTCCTTCCAAAGCGGCTCTAAGGGAGCCCAGGGACAGAGGACCCCCGTGGCCAGGGCGAGGAAGATGGTGGGAACCGTAGGCTCCTTCCTCCTCCCCGCCCTCCAAATCTGCCCAGGGGTGTGAGAGCAGGGAACTGGGGATTAGTGCAGCTCAGCTGCCGGCCTGGCCAACTGCGAGGTTCCTGGGAGCAGCCCGAGAAAGGAAGTGAGTCAGGAGCCCAGCAGGAAGCTGGGATGATTCTGCAGAAGAGGGGTGGGGACGTGGGAGCCAGATTCCAGCCTGGAGAGAGTGTCTCAGGAGCCCCTTGGTCCCTAGCGCCCCGAGCCAGCTGCCCCCCTGCACCCGTGCAGGGGTGGGGGTGTGAGGGGCCGTCTTTGTCCCTGCTGCTGGCGCTGCTGGCTGGAGATGGGGCCCTTCCTGTGCTGGAGCCCCCATAAACTCGAGGGGGGAGACTGCGTGGGTGGGCATCAGAGTGCCCCGGGTCAGGCCTGTGGGAGGTGGAGGCGGCAACCCCTACCTCCCCCGCGGCCCCAAGAGGGCTGAGCCCAGCCAGCTCCAAGGTTGGAGGCCTTGGGGTCTCCCAGGTTCCGGCCAGGGGGTCAGCGCCCGAGGAGAGGGCGAGACCCAGCATTAGGGCTTTCAGAGCTCTGAGCAGACGGGTCGGGAGGGAGAGGAACCCGCCCCTTCCGTCCCCAGGCGGAAGGACTTGAGTCGCTCGCACAGCCTCTGAGCATCTGGGCCTGGAGACAGGATCTCCTTCCGCAGGGCACTTGACTCGGACCCTGGGCCGCTGACTGTGGTGGGCTCTGAGTGCGGGGGCACAGCTGCGGGCCGGCCGGTCCCCACAGACCCCGCTGGGTGCCCTGGCAGCTTCTGCCCAGCCCCGCTGGTCCAGCCGCGTGTAACCAACACCACCGTTTCCTTGTTCCTTTTGTCCGGCTCCGGGAAACGCCTGCCGTCCCTTTGGCAGCTGCTCAGGGTGTTTTTCTCGCCTCTTTTCTACGATCCTCTCAACCCAGTTCATGTTTGGCACAGGAAGGTTGCCAGGAGCTGTGGTATTGAAGCCCTGTTCTTGGGCTCATTGGCGGGTAAAGCAGGGAGCTTGGGCTCCCCCCACAGTGCTCGGGGGCTGCTCTGGTCTTATTGCTCTGGGGTCATTCCCAGCAATGCCCAGGGGCCCCACGCGCTCAAACCCGCTTCCCACATACACCCTCGCCCTTTGCTCCCTCTTCCTCTCCTCCCCCTACTTTTTTTTAACAAAATTTATTTGGGGCTGGGTGTCTCCCCAGCAGTGCTCAGGAGGCCCTGGGGGGCCAGTGCTGGTTCTCCAACCGGTGCATGGTGCAGTGCAAGGATCCGAGGATGCCCTGGTATGAGGAATGCCCCCGCTCACCTCAAACGGGAGGGGTGCCAACTTGGATGACGCTTTGGGGAGCCCTGAGAATCGAATCCGGGCCAGATGCAGGCCGGGGGCTCTGGCACAGCTGGACCAGCTCCAGGACTCAAACAAATTTGTTCCCCGAAGACCTTCTTGAGTCTCCACGTCTCAGCCTGGGACACGTCCCGCCTCTCTCTGACCTCATGGGGCGATCCCCGGGCCCTCTTCTCACCGTGGAAGTGTCTAGAGCAGGCCCGTCCTGGAAGAGTTTTCTGCTTTGTTTGGGGGGGTTACGCCTGGTGGTGCTCAGGCCTCATCCTGGCTCTGTGCTCGGGGATCCCTCCTGGTGGTGCTCAGGGGACCCTGTGTAGGGCCAGAGATCGAACCTGGGTCGGCTGCATTGCAAGGCCAGCGCCTCTCCGTTGGACTGTGTCGCTCCAGATCCTTGAACCAGCTTCTGTGAGCAAAGTTAATGGCCTTGGATGGGTGGAGAATGATCCGTGCTGTGACTGCAGAGGCCAGAGGGAGCAGCAGAGACGAATTCATCTCGGCTCATCTCTTGACCATCCGTCATGGGCTGATGGTGGCAGCTGGAGACCCGGGTGTGTGTATGGCCTGAGCCCCCTGCCCCCACCATCCCAGGGTCGCCCGCCCCTCCTCCCACGCCCTTCCCACCCGAACCACCTCGCTTTGCACCCTCTCTGAGTTATTTTTGTTGCGTCGTGAATGTGTTGGTCTTGAAAAGGAAAAGGCAATAAACTCTAACAAAGGGAGACTTCACAAAGGGACCAGGAAGGAAGCTGCGATGTGATTTGGACCAAAAAGGAGCGGGCTGGGGGGTGGGCGTGGGACTAGTTCCTCCGCGCCCCCGCTGCTGCTCGGTGCTGGAGCCTGAGTTACAGACCCTGGGAGGGAGTTGTTCTGGACCCCAAGTCCCACCCTTTCCTCCCCCTCAGAAGCGCTTTTTTAAAAAAATGTATTTCTTTATTAGTGAGACACCATGAGGTACAGTGGTAGACTTACAAATTTTGTGCTTGGGTTTCAACTATACAATGATTAAATCTCTGCATCTCTTCCTCTCCCCTGAATCTGGGCTGGAGAGATGTACAGGGCTGAGGACGCCTAGCTTGCATGCAGCTGACGTGGCGCCAGGGAGGTTTTGATTCCCGGCGCCACGAAGGGTCTCCCCAGCCCTGCCAGGAGTGATCCCTGAGCACAGAGCCAGGAGTCAGCCCTGAGCACAGCCAGGGGCCACCCCAGTCAGAACCTGGCGCTTGGACCAGATAGATAATACTGGTGAATAAGTACTTTCTTCTCCTGTGGCTGGCCCTGGTTCAGTCCCCGGCACTGCATGGTCCCCTGAGCACCGCTAGAATAGTCTCCCGAGCTCAGAGCTGGGAGTAAGCCCTGAGCACTGCTGGGTGTGACCCCAACACAGCCTGGCTCTGGCCTCCCTACCTGCCCTTCTTTCTGGTCTTGCCCAGATCCATGGTGGCTTCTAGAGGTTGTCTATGACAACCTGCAGAACCTGCAGAGTTTCTGTACCCGACGTGGTGCTCGGCCACTTCGAGTTCATGAGTTGGGGGTTCAGGGCCCCGTCTTGGGCTGGAGCAGGTGGGGGGCAGGCCCGTGGGCGGCTGATGGGGTGGCCTGGGCCTTCTTGGGGAGAAGGAGTGATTGGTGGGGGGACGGCCCCAGGCGCGGGGAACGTGGGTTCCTTATGGGGCGTGCAGAGGAAGTACCAGAGATTTCTCTGACTGCTACGGGCAGGAAGAACCCCTAACTGCGGGGACAGCTGGGCCGCTGGCTTGTATCCCAGGGTCCTCAGGCCGAGCCCCTGTTTTACCCAGCCTTGCGGTGGGTAAGCTTGACCTTGGATGGAGCCTGACGTTGACCTTGGGGGGCAGCAAACCTCACAGTGGGTCAGCCCGGGTGGCTGAGCCTGTCCTGCAGAGCTGTGTGCTGTTAGCCTGTGGTGGCAGTCACGATGTGACGATTAAACCTGTCATTGTTTTTCTCCTTTCAGCCACATAGAAAAAATCACCACCTGGCAAGACCCCCGGAAGGCGATGAATCAGCCCCTGAACCACATGAGTCTGCACCCGGCGGCCGCTTCCACCCCAACAGCCCCGAGGCCCATGGCTGTGTCGCAGCCGAATCTGGGTAAGCCCCACGCCTGGCTCGCACCCCAGGCCTGGTCGGACGTCCGTCCCGCCAGGCTGCGTCGTTGCTGTGGCCCGCGCCTTCTTTTCCTGGCTTTTCACTGCTAGTAGGAGAGGTTGAGGCCCACTAGGAGAGACCAAGGCCCAGGAGGAGAGACTGAGGCCCAGGAGAGACTGAGGCCCGGGAGGAGAGGCTGCGGCCTGGGTTCTCCGCCTCCAGCATCTCAGCTTCCCTTGACTTTGTGGTTCCCACGAGGTGTTCGGGGACCAGTGTGGCACTGGGGATGGAACTGGGGTCAGTGGCGTTTGGTGTTATCCCTACAGCCCTTGACTGCGTCTGTGGACGGTGTTCCGAGGACCACGCTGTGTCAGGGCTTGAACCTGGGCCTTCTGCGTGCCAGGCCTGAACCCCAGCCCTTGGGGCGCCCCGGGCCACCCCAGAGCCCGTTCCCACGTCCAAGGGGCGACGCTTCCCCGAGTCTGGCCGCCTGTGACCCGCAGAGTGGGCTCTGGCCGGACCGGCATGCAGAGCGCGTGCTCTCGCCTGGACAGTGCATCTTCCTGTCCGAAGATCCTCCTTTTGATGATCATCATTCGGTTCAGGAATGAATAGGATCATTCATTCGGGCCAGAGCGCAAGCATAGCAGGTAGAGAGCTTGTGGCGGCCCAAGTTTGATCCTTCCGTGGTGCCCCAAGTCAGCCCAGTGATCCCCTAGCATCGAGCCAGGAGTAAGCCCTGAGCACCCCCAGGTGCAGCCCCAAACAACAAAAAATGAACGCAATGGAAGTCTTCTCCCTGGCCACTCTTTCCTCGAATGTGGCTTATTAGCCGGAAGGAGAATGACCCAGGCAGAGTCAAGTAAATATCACGCTTTTTCATCAATACCGAATGTCAATATTAAATATTGTATACTATGTGTGTTTGTCCTCCCGTCGGTCATCGGTTTGCTCGAGCGGGCCCAGTAACGTCTCCATTGTGAGACTTGTTGTTACTGTGATAGGCATATTGAATATGTCACGGGTTGCAAGACACTCTTGGTAGCTTGCCGGGCTCCCCGAGAAGGGCGGAGGAATATATCAGTATCAAATATCTTTCCAGGAGGTTTGAACCCACCATTTTTCTTCTTATTTTAATTAATCCTCTATCAATGTCCAATATCAAATACTAGATGTCAATATCAAATATCTTTCCAGGAGTTCTGGACCCACCATTTTTCTTATTTCAATTAATACTTTATCAATATCAAATAGCAATATTCAGTATCAGATATCAATATCAAATATCTTTCCAGGAGGTCTGGTCTTGACATTTTTCTTCCTTTAATCAATCAATACTTTATTAATTTTTTGAGGGGGGACACACCCAGCTCTTCCTACGAGGTGCTCAGGGACCGGTGTGGTGTGGTGTCTGTGCTCGGGGGTCACTCCTCTGGGGTCCAGGGGCCCAGACCTGGTGCAGAGTCCCGCCCAAGCACCTTCCCCGACCACGTTAACACGTATGGGTGCAGACTCGGCTCCACCCGCCGGGAAGGACCTGGCATTTTCCTTATCTGAAAGGCAGATCAGGGCCCGGTTCCAGGGCGCCCTCCTCTAGGACAAAGCACGGCTTCCTGTGACGCCTGAACTCAGGACAAAGCACCTTTGAGTGTCGTCATGGCCGCTCTTTTCTCGTTCTTCCTGCTGTTCACTTTTATTAAAGCTCAGAGCTGGGCCCGAGTGACAGTACAGCAGGGAGGGCGTTTGCCTTGCAGGCGGCCGACCTGGGTTCGATCCCTGACATCTCAGATGGTCCCCCGAGTACCCCCAGGAGTGATCCCTGAGTGCAGACCCAGGAGCAGGCCCTGAGCCTCTCCGAGGATGACCCAAAAGGCCAAGTAAATAGAGTGAAATAAAATCTCCAGAGCCGCTTATGTGTGAATGCAGGTGTGACTCTGCTGGGCTCAAACCCAGGGGACACCCTGAGACCCGCTGCCCCACAGAGCCCGAGAACGTGGGGCGGAGAGATGGAGTTTTCGTCAGAGGAGTTCATGTGCTAAGGCCTGGGGTGGGTTCCCGAGTCGGCACAGACCCGAGCAGTCTCCAGGCCTGCTGAGCAGAGCTCTCTGGGGAACATCGAAAGGGCCCATCTGTGTTCCTCAGTCCCTCGATGGCTGCTTGTGTTTCTGGAAACGTGTGTGTGTGTGTGTGTGTGTGTGTGTGTGTGTGTGTGTTTTCTATACACGTTCTTTTTTTGGGAGTCGGGGGTTTGGGCCAACCCAGTGTTGCTTAGGGTTCACTCCTGGTTCTGTGCTCACAGGTCACCCCTGGTGGTGCTCAGGAGACCTTTGTGGTGCCAGGGATCAAACTGGGGTCCACCAAGGGCCAGGCAGTGTCTTCCCCTCACATGGTCTCTCCAGCCTGTGTGTGTTGTCCTACACTTGCTTTTTCCGCTTCTGGCGGAACCTCAACGTGGCGCTCCCACCTCGGGAAAACACTGCCTCGTAGCCCAGCACACTTGGAGGCGACGATCAGTTTGACTGACGGGGCTGCCTCTGAGGGCTATTCAGGTGCCGGGGCATTGCTAGGGACACACACCAGTGTGAATATCCTCATTCAGGCTCTTTGATGTACTTTCCTTTGTTTAAAAGAGTTGTGCAACAGGTAGGAAGTGGAAGCGACAGAACCTTCACTGGGGCCAGGGAGGTGGGTCTGCACTGGGAAATCGCCTTGCAAGAGGAGACCCCAGGCACTACCACACAACACACACATGGGGTTCCATCCCCAGCGACACCACACACACACATACACACACAATTCCATTTCCAGCTCCACACATACACAGACATGACACACAACATATGGGGTCCAGCCCGCAGCTCCAACGCAAACACACACACACACACACACACACACACACACACACACACAGTTCCATTCCCAGCTCCACCACACACACACGCACCCATACACAACCCCCCAATACACCGCGCACACACACAGATACCCCCTACAGGATTCCATTCCCAGCACCAACACACACACACACACACACACACACACACACACACACACACGCTGTCGGATCTAGTGAAGGAAGCAGATCTCAGTGCCTGTGGCAGTTTTGCCTCTGGCTGAATCCCATTCTCCCCTTTCGGTTTTCAAAACACACGAGTGGATGCTTTTGACCTGGCGTAGGGCGTGCCCCAGAGATCTGTGGGTGTTTTCCCAGACCCAGCCGTGTGGCTGGCTTGCAGAGAACCCAGGGATGCTAGGAGGGTGCCCCAGTTGAATCAGTTAGTTGGACCAATGCTCTAGTAACAAACGATTTACTTCAAATATTCGATTTCTAGTCCTAATACGACCTGTCGTACATACTCTTTGGCTTGACAGTGCTCGGGATGACTCCTAGCTTTGTGCTCAGGGATCACTTCTGGTGGTGCATTGGGGGACCAGATGGGGTGCTGGGGATTGAACCCGGGTCAGCCATATGCAAGGCAAATGTGCTCCCCACTCTACTCTCTTAGCCCCTGTAGTATCTACTCTTGATGGTCAGTCTTTCCCCTTCCAGTCTCTCGCTCTTGTTGGGCCCTGGCTCTCACGTATGTGAGACTCATACTTCTGCAGTCCAGAACTTGCACCTGTAATTTGGGCCACGGAGATGACTTGTAGGCCCGAGACATGCTTTGAGTCGCCCTAGATTGATCTGGGCACCACAGGGCCCCCAGCTCTGCTGAGAGCGAGCCCCGCCCAAACACAGCAATAATTTAGCACATGGTGTAGTAACTGCCTTGCCTGGACATTTCTCCACATTGCTAGCACTGTGACATGTTCAGAAACAACTGGGCGCGCTCAGAGTGAACCTTTTATAATTGGGACTCGGTGTTTTCTGTGGGGAAGGCCCATGAAGGCAGGGCTTGGAGTGTCAGAATTAGGATTCTGGCTCTGCCTGTTGCTAGCTTGGTGACTGTTGAATTACCGAATCATGTTTCCATTGCTCCCGTGTAAAAATGAGGATTATTCATAGTGTGAGATTATGTGAATTTATCAATGCAAAGTGCTGATACTGTTTGAATTACAAAAAGTTTGTCTTTTATTTATTCTGTATTTTATTTTAAGGCAAACTTTTAGTGAGACCATGGTTCGTCCCTGAGAAGGGAATTCAGAACTCTCTTGCTTTCAGTGAGGAGAGCGCCCTCTGGTGGACACAGTGCACCCTCCCCACCCCACAACGCCATCCAAGAAGCAACTCCTTAAAACGTTTTTAGTAGAACTCTTCCTGAAATGGGGCTTGCAAATCAGGCTGCTTTCAGGGGATGGTGCCAGGGCGGACTTCTCCAGGTGTTCTGCCTGTCAGGGGCGCCCTTTCCTTCAGCTTCTCTCGGTAGGTTGACAGAGCTCTTGTTTATCAAAGCTCAGATGCATGTGCACGCATACAGCAGACACTCACGCATGCACACATCCAGACACACACACACATGGACACACACATGCAGACATACACAGACACATGTGCAGAGACACACACACAGACACATGCAAACATAGGTCTACGCATGCAGACAGACACACGCAGACATACAGAGACACACGGCAGACACACTTGCATGCACACACACACAGACACACATGCAGACACACACAGACACAGCAGACAAACATGCATGCACACATAGAGACACACATGCAGACTATACAGATACACACACATAGACACACATGCAGGCATACACAGACACACAGACACACATGCGTGCACACATACAGACGCACACACAGGCACATGCACACACAGATACACACATGCAGATGTACACAGACACACATACACACACATACAGTGTTATGCACACACAGACACCTGAAACTCTGCTCTCTTTATAGCCCAGGTGGGGATTTCTCTGGTGGAAATGGTGTGGGAGGGAAGAAGAGTGGGGGGGAAGGCAGGGCTGGCTCGCTGCGGGGTCTCGCGGTGATTTTGAAGACAGACCCCATCCCTGCCATCCTGCTGGGCCTTACCAAGC